TGATCGGCTATGCTATGAATGCTTATAATCTCCTTGTTAATATATATTTCGATCTAAGTGATTTATACTATCTCGGCATGGCGATGATCTATCCCAATCACTTGATTTAAACATATATCGACGAAAGCATTATATACCATTGATATCTACAGCCGATTGAATAGATTAAGTTCTTTCTTGCCTATTTATAACTGCCGATCGACTCAAATATGACATCGGCTCAAAGATAAATGATACGTCATCGACGACTGGCTGATCGGCTATCGTTTATAGATTTAACCGCTATTTTCCTGTCTTTATTTCTTGTTAATTGCAGGATCAAATCAACTGGCACGCTCACAAACTTAAAGGCAAGATTTTTTGGACCTGCACTGGAGTTAAGCAGATCTCCCAGGCCTCGTGTTTTTCGCATCAACAAGACCCCCAGTTTAATACACCGGAAACCCCATGTGTCTTGCAATACCACTCCCTGAATCAATAGGTGGTACACATGTAGCACAATTGAATATCACAAGCTGACATTGTTTACAGGTATTTCTACATTAATAATACTAGGGTAGCCCAAACAGGTCCCAAAATAGACCAAGCATGGTCATATACATTACAAGATACCAAAAGAAATAGATAGGGTAGCGGAAGCGAAGCAGCGGCGATCCATCGTACTCCACAGGCAACGACTGGTGAACCTAGGGTCTCAAATCCATTGTCTTCGACATGCACTCGACAGCATTGCATAAATATAATCGACTCCAATTCCTTTCTAAAAGATTTAAATTAAGCAAGGGTGAGTACATACGTACTCAGCAAACCACCACTACAAAATGCATCTGGTGCTCACAGGGGACCACCACTACAAAATGCATCTGGTGCTCACAGGGGTTCAAGGATGGCTTGGTTTAGTTGCATAAAGCTAGTTTTCACAATTCATTTCATAATCCTATGACTTAGCAGTTTTAACTGAAAAACAATGTTAATGTTGAAGTTGTCATTAATCGAGGGTTCATCCACCTTCCCACGCCTCGCATTCCATTTTACACCAACTCTACCATATTCCCGCACATCGGGCAAGGTTACTCATGTCTTCTCTTCTCTAAACTAAGCAATGTTAAAATCTACTAGTAGCATACCCGTGCTAACGCTACGGTGACAACTAATATTGCAAATGAAACAACCAAATGACAGCGACACAATATATGCTTCATGAATGGTACATAGAACAGATAGTTAGGCTAAAAAAGCGATAGAGTTATTAGAAAAAAAATTAATCAACATATCTATCCACAATACCATCTAGGAACAAGCCATCCCTTGCAATGCTATAAAGTACAGGTATTACTCCTCTCAAATACACAATATAATAAATATCTAAAATTAGCTTGACTTAAGCCATCCATTTCGCTTGATGTGGTCCTGATTATCTGGACAAGGTTACAAAACAACCAAAACGTATATTGTCACTCTAGTTATTTGTATTTACACAAAAAAGAATATTGGTCATTTCATAACTTGAAGATAAACTACTGTGATAAGCAAGGTGGACTCGCTTGGATGACTAACAAATGAACCTCTGAACTAAAATTGACGCTCATTTAATACATCTGTAATCAAAGTCAGTTGATCGATGTTTTCATCTATGTGTAGAAATAAACAACGGCAAACAACCGATATAGCTAAATTTTGCCCAAAAAATTACATGTCTTGTCATATCACTAACAAGTATATGCATATGACTAAAGTTTCTGCATATCATTAGAAATATATAGCTGCATTCAACATTTTGAAAAATATATATTGTAATTTATGAACCAATGAATCACTAGGGGTAAAATTAAAATGTTATATATTTTATACATTTTACATTTTTAAAATGTGGTTAATGATCAAACTATCATGACTCTCCAATATCTCAAATCAAAGCTGTAGCTATATATATACAAAACACATTGTGGTTTGAGGCACTTTTCTGTTGCACTGGAAAATAAAATAGATACCAATCAAATCGAGAATACTGAAAAAAATAAGAATTAACTATTTATAGTCTATAGTAAAACCTTCACTTTTGAAACCTACTACAGACTCATACATACTTGAGTCTAGTTGAAGGTTCAGGCTTTCAGCTCACTAGTACAGATCCTTCCATCTGTGACGGCCCCTAATAAGACTGGAATTTGCGGGCCGTCATAAGGAAGTAATCTCAATCGAGCCGAAGTTTCGCCCGATTGAGATATGGTCGCACGGCCATGGTATATCGGCATAAAACTAAAGCCCGTCACGGATGACACTTATCTGTGACGGGACATAGTTGAGGCCCGATTGAGATGAGGGTTCCATATCTCAATCGGACCCTAAAAGAAGCCCGTCACAGATGTCATCTGTGACGGGCACCAACTAGAGGCCCGATTGAGATAAGTTTAATGCTCGTCACAGATGACACTCTTATTTGACGGGCTTTTATTAAGGCCCGGTAGAGATTACTTGTATGCCCATCACGGTTGATTGTTTTAGGGCTGTTACAGATATTTGTTGCACAATATAAATACCCCCCACCACCTAGTGTAATTGTATCCCACTGTTCACTATTTTGGTGGGAGGCTGTAGAGGGCGATTTTTTGTCTTTTTTACGAGGAAAACAGAAATTAAATTCCCAAAAGTGATCAAAATGGATCAATCAAGTGAGCAATATTAATCATTAATTGAGCAATTTCATCACGTCTTACTTTTGCAATACTGATCTTATAATATGTGTCTCTAATTTGTTTTTTATTTTGTAGCAATTGATCGAAGTTGGATGTTTGCGAAAAATTTGAAACGTCATTCTACGGAGTACAGAAAGGGCGTAATAAATTTTATGAACGCCGCGGAGGAGGATCGGAAAAGAAGAAACAATGATTACATGTGTTGTCCATGTGCAGATTGCAAGAATAAGAATATGTTTGATAACGGAGAGGACGTACACGGTTATCTGATACAACGAGGATTCATGAAGGGCTATACATATTGGGAGAAGCATGGAGAGCAAGAATCAGGAAGTGGAGAAGCAGCAGACAGAAGTGGTGCGCATAATTAGGAAGATGAAGATGAGCATGACATATTTATACCTTCTCTATTGGGCGGTGAAATGGTTGATGTGGATCACGATCTGCTGCAAATGTTACATGACGTTGAGGACCCAGCCAAGAATGAGAGAGATGGAATGAAGTTCAGCAGGTTGGTCAGTGATTCCGAGACGCCTCTGTACGCTGGATGCAAAGCAAAACACACTAAGTTGTTGGATAGACAAGAGTTTCACAGATCTTTTAGGAATTTTGAAGGCTATGCTTCCTGCTGAGAACACATTTCCCAAGACGACATACGAAGCAAAGCAGGTTCTGTGTCCACTGGGGTTAGAGGTCCGTAGAATTCACGCTTATCCAAACGACTGCATATTGTACCACAAGCAATATGCGGACTTGGATGCTTGTCCTGTCTGCAAGGCTTCTCGATACAAGCGAAAGAAAAGTGCTGACGAAGGAAATAAGTCAAAGAGGGGTGGTCCGGCAAAGGTTGTGTGGTATCTACCTATCATTGATCATTTCAAGAGAATCTTTGCCAACCCGAACGAAGCGAAGTTAGTACGTTGGCACGCCACAGAGAGAAGGAATGACGGTATGCTTAGACACCCAGGGGATTCGATTGAATGGAGGAATATCGATCGAAAACACAAAGACTTTGCTGTTGACCCTAGAAATATGAGGATATGTCTGTGTACGGATGGCATGAATCCTTTCGGTGACATGAGTAGTACTCACAGCACTTGGCCAGTTCTTATTGCGAACTATAACCTCCCGCCATGGTTATGCTTTAAATGGAAATATATTATGTTGTGCTTGTTAATCCAAGGTCCGAGGCAACCCGACAATGATATCGATGTATTGGACGAGGATAAGTAAGTATGTTAAATTGGACGATCTAAAACTTCTTGGAATGAAGTCTCACGATTGCCACGTGCTAATCACACAAATCATGCTAGTTGCTATCAGATGCATTCTACCACCGAAAGTGCGTCACACGATCCAACGTCTGTGCGCCTTCTTCAATGCGATTGGACAGAAGGTTATAGATCCAGAAGATCTAGATGGGTTGCAGACCGATATTGTGAATACCCTCTGTCTTTCTTTGATAAAATGGTTCATCTCCCTGTTCATCTGGTGAAGCAAACAAAACTATGTGTCCCGGCTTTTCTAAGGGAAATGTGGCCGTTTGAAAGGTACATGGGAGATCTAAAGTCGTACGTTCGTAACAGAGCTAAACCCGAGGGGAGCATCATTGAAGGTTACACGACCGAGGAGGCTATTGTGTTATGTGTCAATTGCATGTCCGATGCCAATCCTATCGGAGTTCCTGCGTCTCGTCACGAGGGAAGGTTGTCAGGTGTTGGCACAATCGGAAGGAAAAGAATTAGGCCCGATCAAGCGTCCTACGCGCAGGCTCATTACGCTGTGCTCCAACATATGGCAGAAGTAGACGGATAGTCAAACGTTAGACACAGAAACCTAGGAATTGAGTCTTTTTGGAACAGAGGGAGTAGATGCAAGGGCACAAAACTCGGTAAGGGTGAAAAAAGGCATTATATTAGTTAGCACTAACCTCCAGGCTTTCCAATATTGACAAGATTAACAAAGAAGCATGAATATGGTCTGGTCTTTAATTTGTCATATTCCTTTTTCATATAAGATTTTTTTTATGACTCGAGGAAGTAAATAATAATACAATTATTTCTTGAACATGCATAATTTATCATGAAACTAATTTCGCACTGTAGTTTATCTTATCAAAAGAAGTAACACATAGCATGAGAGACGCACTGCTAATTGTGCCTCCTGCAAGGAAGAAAGTTAGTAGAGCTAATCGTTTGATAGTAGTGTTAGTTCCAAAGGCTACTGCAAGAAAGAGAGAAGCAGATTACTCTTATCTTTTAGAGAATTTTCTTACTATGTATGTAATTCTATACTAAGTAATTCTGCAATATTTTTCATGCACAAATCCTCCTTCACTTCAGTTTCTCATATACTCAATCCTCAAACAAGGAGGGCAGAGATACCTGCCTCAATCACAAGAGCTGAAAGCTTTCAAAAATTTGATGAAGCTACATTGAAACTTCAGTCTGAAGACCTGAAACACCAAAAACAATTGATAGTTTGACTCCGAATTGATTTGTGAAACTATTCTAAACTCAATTGCGTAAATTACTAAATTGGATTGAATACAGGATTGGTTATAGGGCATTGAGTAAAACTTCTGAAACATTTGCAAAATCAAAATTGTAATCTTAAAACCTAAACAGATGCATAAACCAATCAGTAAAGAACGCAAGGCAAGCTTAATTAACCTTTGCCCGTGCTGTCGCAGTAGTTGTTGCACGCACATTAGTATTGATCCAGTCCAAACCAGTTCTCCATGTACTCATCTAGGCTTGCATGCTCTGTGGCAACCGGAGAGAAATTCCACTTGTTAGAACTCTTAACCCACAAAATAGAGAGCTAAAGACTAAAACCACAGTTTCATCTATAAGAACACTCAATCCTCGATGGAGAGCTAATAACTGAAAATGCAGTTAGGATTGATGTGTTTCACCTTCACTTTCCTGCACATGCAGGATGACACCTCAGAAAAAGAACAAAATGCTGATCCATCGTGCTTGCCCATTGCAGGGAGTCGGCGTCGTCGCACGCGAAGGAGGGGTGTCGGAATCTACGGCGCCCGGCGGCTGCTGTGATGCAGTTGGAGCGGCGACTACTGTTGGGTTAGGCGGCGGCCAGCGTTGCGTGTGAGAGGATGCCGGGCGTCGGTGGCGCCGCGCGCGAATGCGGGGTGTCCGAACCGACGGCGGGCAGATATCCGGCATCGGCGGCGGAGATCACGGCATAGATTCTGTGTGAGATTGGTGGCTCGACATCGGCAGCGACCGCAGGCCTGGACTGGTTTGCCGCAAAGATCGTTTTTGAGCCGTTTTCTCGCCCGCGCCGCCTGTGTCAGCTGCCACAACGCCAGCCCAGACCGTCGAAGAACCACCGCCACCGCCGTCGTAGTCTTCACCAGCTGTCGCACCTGATTGTATCAAACACATTTAGCCACACCACACACATGACGTTCGTTTCGGCAGGCGGGCGGAGCCGGTCAGCGGCTGCCGCGGAGGAGATCGTCGCTGGCTCGGCGATCTTCGGCTTCAGAAATTCCTGCACGAATAATAAGAAAATCTTTCACAATGGAAGTCATCATAAATCTTGGGCAGGAAAACAAGACTGAATCCCCAAGGCAACGCAATACACGTGAATCCCCAAGGCAACGCAATACAGGAGAACAAGACAGAATCCCCAAGGCAGAAACAACACATGGATTTTTTTCATTCAGAGGTAAACTAACAATCATTCAGAGTTGGCGATCGGTGCGGTGGTAGCTCGTCGTTGCGTTGTAGCTCCCAAATCCTGCGGTGGCGGTGTCGAGAAGCAGCGGGGTGAGGAGACGAAGCGACGCGGGGCAATGGGCTGATGGGTAGGAGGAGCACGCGAACGGCGGCAGCCACGGCGACTGTGGCGATCTGGAGGATTAGTCGTCGGCGGCGGCTGGTGGTAGGAGGAGGCAGGTGGGCAGCACGCGTGGCTAGTGGGCGAAGTAGTAGGCGTCGGCAACGGTGGCGTCCACGGCGGTTGCGGGTGGGTGACGGCGGCGTCGACGGCTGGGGTGGATGGGCAGAGGAGGCAAGCGGGCAGCGCGCGTGGTGAGTGGGCGGAGGAGTAAGAGTCGGCGGCGGGGAGGAGGAGGAGTAAGACTCTGCCCGGCGGGGGATCTGGAGCGGAGGCGGCGGTGGTTGTGGGTGGGTGGCGGCGTCGGCGAGGAAGAATCGTTCGTGGGGGTGGATTGGCGGAGGAGTCGGCGGCAGTTGCGGGTGGGCGGCGGTGGCGAGTGGCGATTGGAGTGGAGAAACCGTCTGGCAGTCTACTGCGATGGCCCGTTTGATATGACGATCCGATGGTTGATATTACACGTATCTGTCCGATGTCTCTGCTAGGAATCAAGACCACCATTACAAATTTTCTAAGTAGTAGAGATGAGTTTAGTTAAGAGTAGTATAAGTCTTGGCGCTCATTAAATGTGAGTACGGCTATTCGAATAGATTGGTTTACTCACATTGTAATAGATGTACGCTTTTAATTTAATGGAGATCTTTAGTACACAACCTAAACACACGCAAATAAATAACAAATTCTATTATACAAACTGGGCTAGGCCTTCCCTAGAGGAAAACCAGACTTTATCTGAGAATGCTATTTCTTTTAAATAAACTTCTAGGAATTATACTTCGCAAATAGAGTTTTTAGTAAATACTTTACTGGTAGCTATTATTTGCAATATAGTTGCCAAAAGACTTAACCCTTTACAGGGACTCATAGAAAATAATCAAAACAATATTTCTTTTGTAAAATAGTATTTGTTTTAATGACTATCCCACCGAGGGTGTCCATCCATAATAGTAATATATAATTTTATTTACAGAGCAAATATACCAGAGGGGCTCTATTATATAGAGAAGGGTTTTTAGGAAGATAACTAGTATTAGGGCCTGTTCACTTTGATAAAAAAAAACCTTATTAAAATTTGGCATTGCCAAAATTTTGGCAACTATGCCAAAATTTTGGCAACTTATCAAAATTTTTGCAGAATTTCTTATATAGTTACCAAAATTTAACAGCAAACTAAATATAGCCACTTTTTTAGCAACTTTACCAAAATTTGGTAAGGTTGAAAATGGCATCAAAGTGAACAGGCCCTTAATATATTTCATAATCATGGTTCTTTAATTAAATAATATTTGAAATCAAAATACACGCATATTCTTAGAAGTTCCTCATTTAGCCCATACATAACCGGAAAACGAAAAATAAAATCAAATAAATTCTAGCATGCAAGGGAGGGCCTCATCGGTTGCCCTATAGCTTATAAACCAAAGCCAAAATTTGAATTTTAAAACTTGATTTTGAATTTGATTTTAATATTTTTTCAACATTGTTTTTTTTTCAACTTTGGCTTTTCAATCACTAAGAACATACATACAAAAGTTTTACTCGCATATTATTTTTTTAATCGCTAATAAACCGTTATGGCTTATAATAAGAAGTGGGCAACCGATGGGGACCGGAGTTCAAAAGATTTTTGGTTATTCCGAATTTTTAATTCCATATTTTAGAGTCAAAATTTTTAGGGTGTTACATGGGGCCCACAAGTTGTTTGAAAGTGGCACAGCTGACCGTTGCTTTGCCGGTTCAGCCGAACCCCTTGTGGGCTGTAACATACCCAAAATTTAAAATTTAAAATTTTGCACCTAAAGAATTAGAATGACTTTTTCCTATCTAGGAATCCTAGAATTTTTGCATCAGACATCTAAATGAGCCCATCATAGCTAGAACTCAAATAACAATTTAGGACAATTTAAAACTTTTCCATTCTAATTTAATTTGACACGTAATATATTTCATGTTTGCATTAGCACAAAGTGTGGTGTGTGATTTGAGTCCTTTTAAGTGTTTTTGGAATTTAATTGCATTGCATAATAGGTATCATGGCATTAATTAAAAACTGGAGGCAACTAATTTTGTAGAATGACTTAATAACTTTATTCCCTAAAGGTCATTCAACTTAAATATTCCAGCCTAATCAGTGGCAAACTCTAATATATTAAATTGGACACACTTCCCTGGACATTGTCATGAGCATAAAGTTTTATAAACACAATAACTCCTTACCCTGAAGAGAACTAATAATTTGTATAGTTAAGTGATCACCACACACGTAATCCAACTTCTAGAATTCATAGGAAATTTATATTAGCTTTAAATATTATGAACTCGGTTTTGTTAGATTAATAAAATATTTTTCTTCATTTGTATAGACAGCAAGTAACACATCATGTACAGATAAACATCTAAAACTATATATATAGGAAACTACTAACATAGAACGCATTATAATTTGTAGAATGCATAAGAAATTCATTTTAGCTCCAAAAATGATGAATCCAATTATGTTGAACTTAGTATATCATGACCTTTCCTGTTAAAAAAATGAAATTGTACAGAACATGGTTAGAAACTACCTTTAAATTCGAATAAAGCCTAAATGACATAATTGTAGCCTAGGACTTGTAAAATTCCTATCTCCCAAAATAAATGAGATAAAATAGAAATTCTTTTACCTAAATTCATATAAGGACAGAACCTTCCCACTGCGCACAAAACATTCATTTTAGAGAATTTTGTATTTTTCGCATAATTTGGTATTTATTTGCATGTCGTGTTATTTGTCTAGATAATTTGCATTCACGTTAAAGGAGTGACTTAGGAATTGTCCAAGTTGCACAAGATCAAGGCAAGTTTTTCCTCCCCCTTCGTTTGATCACATTGAAACCCATGTTTTGGGAGATGAAATGTGTTGTTTGCAAAGTTGCATTTATATTTTATTAAACCAATATTTGAAAACTTGGGATATGGTAGTTATCCCTAACTTGCTGCATAAACTCCCTTGAATTATTGTACACCTCTCCATTTGTATACTTAGGAATGGTTAGAGTACAACACTTGTGTTCATTTGGGGCTACAAATGCTTAATATGCTACTATGTGCTTAGCCATGCTTAGAATTATGCAAATAATATTTATGGTCACTTTATAAATGAAATTTTGGGTATTATTTTGCTGCTGTACAGATATGAAAATTATGATTATTTCTGAACTAAAAATGAAGTTAAACTTATTTTAGGCTTGGGCGACAAGTGGTGTGCATATGGTGGTAGTTGCACACCAATAGGGGGAGTGTTCGCCCGGGTCGATTAAGGAACGAACTTCGTGTCACCCTCTAATGTTTACCGTGCATCGATATGAGTTATTATGGGGTAACCTTGGCCTATTAAGTTAAGTATGTCTCTAACCTTGTACTCGGGAGGCTGTTCTAGTAAAGATGGCGGTCACGGTTTGTGGAGCTATCTTTAGGAACTACCTATGTGTGTGTGTTTGTTTGTAGGATGACTAGTTCCCTATGTATGTGTTCTATGGGGGACAGATGTTCCACCTCACAGCATGGGCGTCTAAGTCCGTCCAATACAATGATAGCATGCCTCGTGGGGGAACGGATGTGTTCGCCGCCACAGCATTAGGTTAAGGCGTGGGCCCTCCACCTAACGGCTCTAGGACTTAAGCCTAGGGTGGATTCACACTTATCGTGCTCATGCAAGGTTAGGTACTTCTTAATGTAAAAGCTCGTTGTGTCCTCTAGACCACACTCAATGTGTAGAGAGTGGTGGTACCGACGGGTACCGGACAAACTAGAGCGATTCATATCATGTGGGTAAAGCTATACAAACTCTGCAGAGTCTAAACCTAATCGATTAGCAATGCTCATGGTCATGAGCGACATAGTGAGTGGTATGGGTATAGTTTTATGATTTATGTTTTCAAATTGTGATTGTGAAATATAGGTTGGAAAATGGTAACTAGTGTAGAATTGTATTGATTATGGTACATAGATGAATAATGTGAGACTTGATGCCGGTTTAGGTATCAAGAATGATTATAATATGATATATGATAAATATTATGATATATCTATGTTCGTGTTTTGTCAATTGAATTGTCAACTCTCTTTACAAATGATTGTGAACTAAAATTTGTCTTTATGCTAAAATTTGAGCTAAAGAAAGCCTTCCTTTGAATTATGGCCTTACATGTAGTATGTTAGGCTTGTTTTGTAGTTGTCAGTACATTAATTTGATTAATGTACTGACTCTTGCCAATTGTTTATGATCTTGTTTTGCAGGTAGTAGGTTTAAATTATGTTTAGTGATTCGGGTTTCGACTACTTCTTCTAGGACTTGATTCATTAGGGGTCTACCACTAGTCGGCTGCTTATGGGAACGGGTATACAAGCTTCCGCAGATCAATATATATTAGGCCGGTTGGCCTGCTATGATGATATTAAGTGCAAGTTCCATATTGGTCAGGATTTTGTGTAGACCTTGCCGTTATTTTTGGTCATTAGGATTGCAAGAATGTCTTTTGCATTTGTGTTCTTGGCTAAGCTATTGTGCTATAGACCATACTACAGAAATTTTTTTCATCCCATATTGCTATTAAAGGATCAGAAACATAGGCATTGAATCTTTAAATCAATATAACGCCTGCCAATTGCTTGCATAATCATTAATTTGATTGCTAGCTGTGAGCATAAACTTTTATAGAACATGCTTGATTTAATTTTTATTTTTGACACCAGACCTGATTTAATTTTCATTTTAAAATGAAACTCCTGTACAATTAGAGTATTAAATGTAGACTAAAACAAAAATCAATTACACAGTTCGCTAGGAAATTGCGAGACGAATCTTTTAAGCTTAATTGTGCCATAATTTGACAATGTGGTGCTGCAGTAAACATTCGCTAATGAGGGATTAATTATGCTTAATAAATTTGTCTCACAGTTTCTTGGTGGAATATGTAATTTGTTTTGTTATTAGACTATGTTTAGTACTTTAAATATGTGTTTGTATATCCGACGATGTGACATGCAGAGGCAAAAAATTTTGCTACCTAAACAAGCCCTAAGCCTGCCTATGTTCTGATCCGTATATAAAAGTTGACTTTATTGTGGGATAGAGAGAGTAACAGGACGGTATCTACTTGTAGGGATGCTAATATAGGCTGTGTTTGCTGCTCAGGGTTCCTAACCATTCTTTGTCGTTTTCCGCGCATACTTTTTGAACTGCGGTGTATTTTTTGTAAAAATTTTCTATACAAAAGTTGTTTAAAAAAATCAAATTAATCTATTTTCGAAAAAAATTAACTAATACTTAATTAATCACGTGTTAATGGACCGCTCTATTTTTTTTACGGAGAGAAAGAGTTCCTATACAAGATCTCCGAACGCAGCTATAGTACTGTTTAGCTGACCATTC